TTTTTGTGAAGTTGCSGACAGTGAACCTGCAGGATCTGCTTTTGTGGCAGGAGACGCACATCTGACCGGTGGCCATGCCCGGGTGCCTGGCAGACTCACGCAGTCCTGGGGCTTCCCGCGCCCCTCAACAGCGGCCGCTTYCGCCTCTCCCCTGACAGGCCTGTGGCCGTCCCTTCACCTCTCCCCCCTCTTCCTGGCCGGGGCAGGGCAGGGAGGCCTCCGTGTCACSGTGGCCTGAACTCTGGCTACACCTCCCAGTCACAAAAGGGCTGGGTCCCCTCCTCAGAGCATGCGTGGTGGTCCTCGTCCCCACTCCCCTGGGGAACGGCCCACCTCTCTTCACCCAGGGGCCCTCAGCTCCACCTGGGAGAGGCTTGAAGGATTCTTTCCTACCTGGGTCCCCAGGATGGAGCAGGAATGCCCTGGATGTCAGGGGATGGTGACTTTGACAGCCAGATGGTGACAGTGTGCTCACCCTGGGAGGAGTGTGTCTTAGGWGGGGCTGTTGCCCACCCTGGGGGCTCTGGGACTCTCTCTGCCTGTGCGTTCTGGATGAGGCCACACAGGTGAATGCAGGGGCTTGGGACCAATGTCCAGGACTGTGTGAGGCCCATCGGCTGTCGCTCCTGGACCCCCCCGGTCCCCACCACAGGCCTCCAGGGCTCACAACCCTTGGGCTCACTTGTGCATTTGCTTGGAYCAGTCACTCGGTGACTTGTGACATGATCCTCAGCCTGGGGTCCGTCTAGGAGAACGTGGCCACTGTCTAGTGGAAGACCCCCAGGTCATTGCCAATTGCTTGGGTTTTATGAATTTTTAAAATAACCCTGTAAGGATCGCAACCCTGGGCTTCTGTTTACTGCGGAGGACCCTGAGGGAAGGGGCGTGGGCTGCAGGGAGGGAAGGCCGATGCCAACACTGAGCTGCTCAGAGGACAGTCTGACACTTTGTTAGAAAGAAGTAGACTCCTGTTTTAATTTCTTCTYTTTTTAATCCTAACAAGATGGGAGCTTTGTAACAGGCCTGGGCCACTGCCCGGGCAGAGCTGGCCGCRTCCTTCCCCTCACTGTGTGCCTGTCGGCCGCGGCCTCTTTCTTCATTCATTCCCTCTCAAGCCCCGAGACCCCACGGTGCCAGCCTCTGGCCCCAGCCCCGGGGACTCAGCTGCCGTTGAACCACCAGAGCCCTTGCTTTCACAAGCTTATTTTCTCTTAAGTCAGAAAGATGACAAAGATGGTGGATCTCAGGTCACCAAGTGTGATGAGCGGGGGAAGGGGAGTGACAAGTAGGGTCAGGGGAGCAGCACTCAGAAATGCCACCAGTGCCCACAAGAAGTGCAGGCACCGAGGTGGGACCCTGAGCAGAGTGGGCCAGAGTCGCAGAGGGCAGGGCAGGGTTACTCTGATGACACCTGAAGCCACTCGGATTGATCTGTCCCTTTAGGGAAGGGGGCAGAGTGGAAGGGGCAGCTGCTACAGCCAGGGTTGATGGTGGCCCTGACCAGGAGGTGGGGATGGAACGCGACTTCAGGGCCCCAGGACCTTGGACGGTGTGGGAGTGAGAAAGTGGTGTCACAGCTGATCCCGGGCCCACGCACCTGGAAGGCAGTTTGCTTTGCTTAGTTGGGGACCTGGGGAGGGACATGTTTGAAGCTGGTGGCTCTGGGGAGAATAGAGAACTGACTCTGGACGCTCTGTCTTGCTTAGGCAGGCCACCCTCCCCCAGGTCCCTCGCCCTGGCCACACTGCTCCCGAGTTCCTAGGATGCTGTGACAAATAGGCCTTCTGATGTCGCGGCCTTGCCTCGGGGACACTTGCTGCTCCCGTGTCTGCCTCGGCCTTGGGGCGGCTGCTCRACACCCTTGCTACGTCCCAGCCTGGCTCCGCCGCTCTCATATCACCAAGTTTATGGCAAGTTTTAACCTCTTAGGGGTTCAAAACTTTGTTGCTGACCTTTTCTAAAAATGTCATGGCAACTTTTTTCAACATCAACRTTAATATCAATATGTCTCACGAGCTCCCCGAATATCCATGGAGGTTTTCTTCAAATTTTATTAAGCTTATTTACAACTTGCAACAGGTTTTCTCTTTTGGAATTGATCTTTCTATCCGGAACACGACACATCTCTCCATTTATTCCACTCTCATTTTGGTACCTTCACAGTGTGTGTTCAGGATTCTTTAGGTCTGGGCCTTTCATCCTGGTATTCAGCAGCTTTGTCATCAATGTGATTGTAGACTTTTTTGACAATTCAACTTCTATTATAGTTACTATTTTTTAAAAATGGTATTGCTTTCTTGTATTCCTAGCTTGAAACTGACCACTTTCCTAAATTGCCTTATTGATATTTTCTAGTTGTAAAATCACCTCCTCAAAAATGAGGATAAATATTGTTTTCAGCATTTGCTGCTTTGTTTTCTTGGATCATTTCGGCAGTGGATCTCCTACAAATGTGGTGTAGAAGTGCCCAAGCCCACCAGGCTGACGTCAGCCCGTCCCCTGCTGTCCTCTGCCATCTTTACCAGGAATGGCTGCTGAGTGCTGTGGGGTGCCTTTGTGCCACCCCTCAACATGTGGCTTCAMTGATGTGGGGAGCTGAGAGATTTGCTGTCTCCTGATGGGTTCTTAGAGTGAACCCCAGTGGCCTCGGTGAGACTGAACCCAGGGGTGCTTCATCACCAAGCTGCATCCCCAGCCCTCTTTCACTAAGTTGCCCAAGCTGGCCTCAAACTTGTGATCCTCTTGCCTCAGCCTCCCGAGTCACTGGGGTACAGGTGTGCCCCACCATGCCCAGCTGGAGAATCTTTTTTAAATGTGGTGTTGAATATTCCTAACATTTTGCTTTTGAATTCTTACATCCACAGCTATAAAATAGATTTGCTTATAATTTTCATTATCATATTTTGGTATTAGGATAATATGCAATGATTTAAACCCTACATAGCCCTTTCTGTGTGCTGGAATAATTTGACTAATGTAAAAATCGTCTGTTCCCTGAAGGTTCCACACGCTCGCCTTTAGAACTGTCTGGGCTTGACACCTTCTTAATGATGGATGGGAGCTCTTTCACAGCTTTTTCCATTTCTTTGTGGTTCCCAGTCTATTCAGGCTTTCCTAATACCTCAGTTAAATTTAGTAATCTATATTTTGCTAGAAATCTATTCTGTTTCCTCTGGAGTTTAAAGCATATTAACCTAAGGTTGCACACAATACTTTGTTAGAATCCTCCCGAATCTGTTGTTAGAATCATGGTATTTTCCKTTTGCTTTACCTTGATGGTATTTCAGTTGTGCTTTAACACTTTGGAAGAACATCCACATACATTGTCTCAAGTGAATCTCTGTCCTCCTGGACAGATGAGGAAACTGAGGCAAAAGGTGGGCACGTGGCTTCGTGCAGGGCCACGGGGCCTGGCGGGGGAGGGTGTGGACCCAGCTCCAGAGCTGCGCCCTCCCTGGGCCCCCACCTCTTCTTCCCGGTGTGCTTTCCTGGGTCCTCCTCAGACCCCCGATGTATGAGGGTGTGAGACCAGACTCTGTGTCTGTCCTCGGCTCTCTGGGTGCCAAAGTCCCTTGGAGCCAACCTTCCAAGAAATTTCCTTCCAAGGAAATGCCTGGTTAGCTCTGAGAAGAATTCTAAGAATGCTTAAAATGCATCAGTGATATCGCTTTTCCAAACCAGAGAAGAAAAGCATCATTGACTTCCAGATGGCTCCGATGGACATACTGAAAAGCTCTGTCACCCTGTGGGTGGCCGAGGACGTGGTGGGCTTTGGCTTCAGTGGGAGCCTGTGAGGGTGGTTCTGGGGCATTCCCAGCAGCCTCCTGGGCTTGCTGCAATGTCACCACGTGTGGGACATGGAAAGGGCTGTCGCTGACACAGGAGCAGCGTAGGACGCCCAGGGTAGCTCAGAGGATGCTTGGGTCCAGGGGCAGCTCCCCACACCCCAGCCCTGGGCTCAGAGGCGGGACCCCTCCAGCCCTCCCCCTGAGGCCTGGCTTTGGCACCTTTTCTGACTCTGCAGGGGCTGCCTCCCTGGCTCCCGGCCTCCTGCAGAAGGCTGGGACTCAGCTGCCCACCGGTCTCCCAAGCCCAGTGTCCTCAGCGCTCCCTCTTGACTGGCCTTAGGGTAAACTGAGAGGCCCTTGCCATTGTCACGGTCCCTCTGCTGACACTCAACAAGCGGCTTCCCCGGCTTGTTCTTCCTGCCATCTGTCCCCTGCGTGTCCGCACAGTGACCAGCAGCAGATTGAAGGTGGTGCAGTCCCCTTAGCCCCCTGCTCACCAGCACATGAGCCTCCACAGGCTTCTGCTGCACTCCTGCCTGGGGTCCAGTTCCTCCTCACTCCAGGACACCCCCGGGCCCTGTGGACAGCGCCCCCGCCACCAGAGCCCCCCCAGGCCACAAGCCTGGCCCCACTGCTCCAGCAGATCCCTCCACACTCACCAGAAATAAGTCCCTGGGGTTGTGACAAGCCCTCTGCTTTAGGGCACATTGGCCAGCAGCTGTGCCACCACAGCAGCCGTGAAGGGCCAGAAGGGCCTCCCGAGTCCAGCTGCTGGAGCTGACCAGCCGAACCCACGTCCCGAAACCAAAGTGCAGATGACAATCCTCTGGCTTCTCTGGCCACGCGGTCAGCACACACCATGTGCCTGTTACATGACCCGAAAGACAGAGCGGGGGACCAGCAGGGCAGGACTGGCCCCTGGACKTGGGCCACCTCCCAGCAGACACCATCTCGAGGGCTGTGGAGGGAACGCCTGTCCCTGGTGGATGGTCATGCTTGCCCGCCCGGTGCCATGCGGCAGGGCAGCCCAAGCCCCCTCCCAGCTAGGTCAGACCTGCCCCTGGACACAGACGTAGACCTGCCTCGGTGGATGCTGGTGTCCTGGCCTCTCCCCCTCAAGCTGGACTTCCCTGGGACTCGCCTGGGTACTGGGCCCAGAGCCAAAAAGTCCTGACTGCCTGCCCAGCAGGTCTTCTCCTCTGTTCTGTGCAGACCGCTGGTGAGTGGGCGGAGAAAATGCCCCGGATCCCGACCCCCTCATCGCCTGGGGACGTGGCCAACAGGGACATCCTAGAGCGGCTCCRCAGAGCAGTGGCCTCCCACCCCCACACCATCGCCCAGGAGCTGGAGAACTTCGACACCATGAAGACCAGCACAGTGTCCCGAGAGGAGTTCAGGGCCGTCTGCGCTCGGCACGTGCAGATGCTGACCGACAAGCAGGTGAGACCCGTCCAGCCCCAGGCGGGCGGCCCCGTGCCCGTCCCTGCGCGCGCTCCATTGAAAACACGGCAGGTTTTACTTATTTTGTTTTGTTTTTAAATCTTACCCAAGACCCATGGGAGCTTCCTGTTTATGTGACAGCTATAAATCACGCAGTTTCAATCAGGGTGCCAACAATGTCCCTTTCATTTTTAAAATCGAATTAAACTCAGCCCCAGCTCCCTTTCTCCTTTCCCGACCTGTGATCGCCCAGGGCACACAAGATCCAGGGAGGGGGCGGCTCTCCCTGCCCTGGCCTGCTGCTGCTCACCGCCCTCTCCCTGCCACTCCTGGGGCTGCCGCTCCTTGTGCTGGGGACACGCCCACCTGGGGAGCCTCCTGACTGTGCACAGGCTGGACACAGGCCATCGCTGTCTGGGTCCCTGCTCCCCATCACAGAGCCCCGGAAGGCCTTCCCCGCAGCTCCCTCCCCTGCGCCCCAGCTGGGCTTCTTCAGCTGGGAGTCTCTGGTCACCTGCTGCCCTGGGTCTCTTGGGCCTTCATGGCCTGCCAAGGCAAGAGCACCTCCCAGCAGACACCATCTCGAGGGCTGTGGAGGGAGCGTCTGTCCCCGGCGGACGGTCATGCTAACTGCTGGCACCCGGGGCACCACCCGCCCCACACTTTGTTTCTCCTTCTGTGCCAAACTCTGGCACAGTGCCTGGCACAGAGTGGATGCTCAGCCAGCACCCATGAGCGCAGTGTCCACCATGGGGTGGCCCCTCTCCCAGCCCGGTGGCTGAGCAGCCAGACGTCACAGTGCCACCGGCCTCACACCCTAGGACTTCCCTTCAGCCCCAAACCTTCCTGCGCCAGCCCCCTCCAGCCACAGGATTCAGACACAAAGTGAGTCCCCTCCCACCAAGCAGAGGCCCCTCCTGCCTCCCAGCTCTGCTCAGGCTCAACCGGAGGCTTCCAGCAGACCCGGGGCTGGGGGTCCTGGGAGGAAACGGGGGCACAGCTGTCTCCCTTCACCTCCAGAGTCTGGGCATCTGAACTTGAGTCTTGTTTGTCAGCGTTCGGGGTAAGGACTTGAAATCATTCACGGGGAGCTGGGGGCCATCATCACAGCACCCCAGCCCCCTCGGGCTCTGAGCACCACCCGGAAGAGGCCCCCAGGGAGACCGAGAGGGTGAATGCTSTAAAAGATCCCACCTCGTAAAGCACTTTCTCATGACCATCTCTGCTCAGTGTGGAATCACTGTTTCAGGACAGTCCTGTCCCTCCGAGGACCAAAGGGGAGCCAGGCCTGACCTGGCAGTCGCTTCCCTGTCTTGGTTCCATGTGGACACCTGAGAGGAACATAGCCATGCTGTGGTTCTGGGGGCCAGCTAGTGGAAGTTCACCATAGAGAACTGACTGTGGAGGTTTCCCTTTCATCTACGTGGACACAACGTTGCTCTGATTATTGGTGTAAATCAGTGGCATGCTGACACACCTGACACTCCTGACAGAGAATCTGATTTTAATTTTCCACCAAGAAGACTTCATCGTCCCTAGCAGTAAAGCCCCCTCAAACAAAATGAWGCATTTATTTTAAAATGCTCACTTCTAAAAATAAACTGGTAGGCCTCACTGAGCTCACCTGCAGCAGCCCCAGAGCCCACAGGTGACGGTGCGTCCGGGGAGCAGGAAGTGTGCTCTACCTGGGGAGGGTGCTTCCGGAATGGGCTGGGGACAGCGAGAGCCTCAGGGCTCCGCGCGCTCTCTGCCTGGTCACTCTGCCAGCGCCCTTCTGGGCTGAGGCTCTGTCCTGACTAAAGCGCAGCTCAGAGGTAACTTGGGCCCTGACAAATCCAGCCCCTCGTGCCACTATTGGTGACTGAAGTCACCAAGATAGTTCCGACCACATTAAATATCATTTTAACTACAGAATTCGCCACTTAGTTTATCTACATTATTAAAACATCCCACACTTTTAAAATGACGGTTGCTTGGGGGGCTGCTTTCTTGGCTGACAGAGCTCTGTTGGAGGGAAGGGCCCTGTCTTTTGAAACCTTTGGGTGCCTTTGACCCTTCAGGACAGGAGAGCATCTTCCTGAGCAGGCCGAGTGGGAAACTGGTGGGTCTGCGTGGATCTGCATAAAGTGTGTCATAGGGAGTGTGGGAACTGGGTCCACTTGGCCATGGCCAAGACGAGAGATGCAGGGTCGCTCTCCCCTTGCCGTGGGTCCAGGTCGGCCCTGGTGCTGGGAGAGCACTTGCGCGTGCGACTGTACCAGGGGAGGAGCTGTTGGGGTGTCTGAGCATATCAGATCTGAGACTTTCCAAGCAGATGCCCTTAGGAAGCTCAAGAAATGCCCCTCTCGGGCAGCAGACCTGGGTTTCAGCCACTTCTGCACCTGTCCAGCTAGGTCCACGGATATGAGTCCACCTGCCTAGCCTGTGTCCTCCCTGAGGAAGGGGGCCCACAGTATGCCCCTCCCTGCCCCTGCCTGCTACTGCCTCTGCCAGCCCCCAGCCCTCCTCCCTCCAACTCCTCTGACCAAGGTCCTCTGACCTGCCAACCTTGGGCTCCGCATCATCTGGCTGAGTCCTCGGACACTCCTGCAGGTTCTGGGGCCCAGAGCTGTCCATGCTGGTGATGCGGGGCGTGTCAGGGTGGTGTGYGTCACCCGCTGGGGGCCAGCTCGCCATAGTGGTGGCGGTGGGCTCGTGTCAGGAAAGGCGGGGAGGGCACCAGGGGAGGGCACTTAGGAATCCGGGTTCTGCCTGCTGAGGAGGGGCGCAGCAGCCAGGGTGCAGCAGGGTCTGAACCACGTGAGGGCGGTTCCCCCAGGCAGGGTGCTGAGCCCCTGGAGACCGGGAGGATGGCAGGTGGAGGGAACACTTCAGACGCAGCCGGTGTCAGGGACTGCTGCCTGCAGCCGGCGTGCCAGCAGACCACCCCTGCCCTTGTGGGGTCAGTGCCCTCGAGGGTCTCCAGACGTCAGCAAACCCAGTGAAACGTGTGTTGCCCGAGGTGGTGACAGATGCCAGGGAGACAGCACAGAGCGGCAGCTGGAGGGTAGTGGGCCGTGGTGACTTGCAGACGCGCAGTAGGGAAGGCCATCTGGGCAGGCGGCCTTAGGAGTGAGGACTGGACACCTGGGCAGAGGACGCTGGGAGCAGAGGCTCCTGGCAGAGAAGACCCGAGTGACCAGAGGATGGGACAGTGCTGAGCGCTAACTGGGAAGCCAGTAATGTCAAGGCTGCTCAGACCCGACCCGGGGCTGGGGGGAAGGGCCCCAAGCACAAGGGCGGCACCAGTGAGATGGAGGGCATGTGGGGTAACAGCTGGTGAGGTGGGGGTCACAGCTGTTCCAGAGTTGGAGCCCACAGGAGGTGATGATGGCCTGGGTGCAAGCCAGGAGCCGGACGGGAAGAGCGGGGGGYCTGGGGAGCAGCTGCAGGCCGACCGGAGAGGTCCAGAGCGGGCTGTGCACGGGGAGCTCCACAGAAGGTGAGGCGGGAGGAGAGGCRGGCGGGGTCAGCAGGGCCAGCAGAGCTGGAGCCCAGAGAGCCCCGAGCCTCCAGCTGCCCGGCTTGCAATCGGGGAGACAGGAGGGACCCACCACGGGTCTGAGCAGCCGCCTGCAGAGGACAGGAGACCCTGGGGGAGTTCCGCAGGAGGCCTGGCCCTGGGTGTCCCCAGATGAAGAGCAGCACTTCAGTGGAGAGTAACCAGATGCATCCATCTTTTCATTTCCCATATCCACTCCACGCTCTGCTTAAGAAACCCTTACCTCTCCAAGGTCGTAAGGTAACCAACCTCTGCTCTCTTCACAAGTTTTGAAGTTTTCACTTCCTGGGCTTTTTTTTTTTTTTTGTACCAGGAATTGAACCCAGGGGCTCTAAACCACTGAGCCACACCCCAGCCCTATTTTGTATTTCATTTATAGACAGGGTCTCACTTAGTGCTCAGTGCCTCTCTTTTCCTGAGGCGGGCTTTGAACTCGCTATCCTCCTGCCTCMGCCTCCCGAGCCGCTGGGATTACAGGCGTGCACCATTGAGCCCAACTCACTTCATGTTTTTTCAGTGCCTGAAATATATTTTTCTTCTTCTGTAAAAGATAGAGATACAGTTTTTAAAGAAATTTGGTCTAATTAGTTATACATGCATTTTGACACATCATACATAAATGGAGTATAACTTCTCTTTCTTTTCATAGTACATGATGTAGGATCACATCAGTCATGTAGTCATTTAGGCACAGAAGGGCAATAATACTGTCTGATTCATTCTACTATCCTCCCACCCCCATACCCCCTCCCCTCCCTTCACTCCCTTCTGCCTAATCCAAAGTATCACTATTCTTCCCCAGCCCCCCAACCCACCTTATTGTGAATTAGCATCCACATAGCAGAGAAAACATTCAGCCTTGGTTTTGGGGGATTGGCTTACTTCACCTAGCATGATATTCTCCAGTTCCATCCATTTACCTACAAATGTCATAATTTCATTCTTTTTTTAAGGCTGAGTAATAATTCATTGTGTATATGTACCACATTTTCTTTATCCACTCATCTGTTGAAGGGCACCTAGGTTGGTTCCATACTTCAGCTATTATGAGTTGAGCTGCTATAAAYATTGATGTGGCTGCGTCACTATAATATGCTGATTTTAAGTCCATTGGGTATAAACCCAGGAGTGGGATAGCTGGGTCAAATGATGGTTCCATTCCAAGTTTTCTGAGGAATCTCCATACTGCTTTCCATAGTGGTTGCACCAATTTGCAGTCCCACCAGCAAAGTGTGAGTGTGCCTTTTTGCCTATAAGCTCACCAACATTTATTGTTGCTTGTATTCTTTTTTTTTTAATTTTTAAAAAATATTTATTTTTTTAGTTTTAGGTGGACACAATATCTTTATTTTACATTTTATGTGGTGCTGAGGATCTAACCCAGTGCCTCATGCATGCTAGGTAAGCGCTCTACCACTGAGCCACAACCCCAGCCCTATGGCTTGTATTCTTAATAATT